TCCACTGAAGGTAGCACAAGAAGAGATGGGCTTAATCTGCAGCAAGGGAGATTTCAGTTAAACATTAGGAAAATCTTTCTAACTATAAGGATAGTTAAGCTCTGCAATAATCTTCCAAGGGAGATTGTGGAATCCCTGTCATTGGAGGTTTTTAAGAACAAGTTAGACAAGCACATGTCAGGGATTGTCTTGGTATACTTGATCTGCCTCTGCGCAGAGCATTAGACTAGGCGACTTCTCAAGGTCCCTTCCCGCCACACATTTCTGTGATTTTCTGAATGGGAAGTGTTGATTTACCTTAAGTGATGCTACCAGTCCTTCCTAGAATATAATACAATATAATAAAAATAAGCCATTGTAATTATAGTATTTAGTCTAAAAACAACTGTATAAATAGGGTATCTAAGTATTTCACAAATGATACATTTATTTTATGTCTTATGAAAATAAGAAAAAAATAAAGATACTAAAAGTACAATGGGTAAAAAGTGTAAGTTATTCATGTGCCCCTCCTTTTTTGCAGCTTGTTACACATATTTGATACACAATTCTATACCATCAAATTAAACATAACGTGCAATGGTGGTGTGTTGTAAAACACAATAGGGACATACTATTAACATTTTATCCCTGTTTGCAAATAGTCAGCGTCTGTCTATGATTGTTCATTAATGTCAAGTAGAATAATGTTGACCTAGCTACTTTATTGCAGAAGTAGTGAACAATGCATACTGTGTGCCATGGGGCTGATGGTTAGAGGAAGAAGGTGAAGGCAAAAGTCAAGTCAGCAGGGAACCATACTTCACTTCAGAATATTGATCTGGTAGGCAAAGCCATTCTACAAAACAAGTAACTCAAGAAGTTGTTTAATTTAATGTTGTCAAATGCTGCCCTTTGGGATTTTTTTTTCTCTTTTGATAGTTTAAAATATGGTAAAGAATATTACTCAAGAAAAAAATACTGTTTTGTACTCCCGAGCTGTTGCATATAACCATGTTACAAATTCTTTTCAAATGCAGCACAGAAAATGGGCTGCCAAAGAAAATACCTATGAAATGAAGTACCTGATTCAGATTTTGGAGCTAAAAATTAATAAATATGCATTTCTATGGCATTGATTATAAAAAGTCATCCATGCTATCAGGATATGCCCAGCTGCCTGTCTCACTATAGCTTTTATTGTTGGGACATATTGCTGTAAACTATCATTTAAACACCAGTAACTGAATTGACTGGTGTGGATCAAATAGGAAAATGATAGCACCTGGGACAGCAAACACAGCATCTTTGATGTAACAGAAATGGAGTGGAGAACACATCATATCAAAATACCATCAAATATATTTTCTCACATACAGTGAATATGGTCAAACTTCTGACATTTACCATTTAAGAGGAGCAGTTTAACTCATGAAATTTAACTTGATCAATATCTCACATTTATACTGCTCATTTTTATTTGTGTATTTTATTTATTTTCAGTGTTTCCTTGTTTAAAGTTTTTTTTTTTCTGTGACCGTTAGTCATTTTGATGCTGAAGACAAATAAAACTGTTAAAGGAAGCAGGACGCTTAATGAGATTTATCCACATACAAAAAGTGATTAGTGTTTGTTAGATGCAATCTGACCTGAGAGGTTTGTTTTTCTTAGAGACTAGTTTCTTTGGAAATTTGGAATTCCTGTATCTGTGTTTCTTCTAAATATAATTGCTAAAACTTAGTAAGTATGTTTATGCATAGGAGAATGCCTATGAGCAGACATGTTTTGTTCGATCTGTTTCACAGTATTACCTGTAGTCCTGTAAACACTATGCTTCCTTCTAAAGCTATTTCAAACGTGTATCGGGATAGATCATAGTGTGACCCATCCTACAAGTGCTCACAACCGAAGCAGAGGCAGCTGGATTCAGACTGGATAGGTGCTCAGCTATGAATACTTAGGTTTGGTCTAGATTAAACAGGTATGCTCTTCGTCTTGAGTCACTACAGAACTATTTAGGGAACACTGTGATGCTGTAGGTGTTTCTGTTTGGATGAGATGTAAAACCGAGTCATTAACCATTTGAAGTCACTAACTATCCTTTTGCACTTTTCACAAGATTAGGAGTTTTATTTCCCAGATCTCCTGAGTGACTATCTTCTATCTTCCTAATTCTCCTTGTAATCTCAGCTGGATACAACATTTTCCTCACTACAGTATAAGCAAGGAAGTGGGATGTTGCTGTGAACTGTTGAACAGCAGCCACTCTGCATTTCAGTAGTGAATGAAGGGATTCCTATGGATAGTCTAGATTTTTAAGCACTTTAGGAATCCTTAATAACAAAATATGTTATTAAGTGTGAGCATGTTATTTATAGAACAAAATATGATTTGTATTGCATTTATTATACTTCGGGCATTGAAAAGCATTAGATAGTATTTCTGTAATGACTGCAGCCAGATTGGACAGCCATTCTGTGCTTCAGCAATATAACACAAACATAACTGGATATTAAAATCTCTTCTGTTATGGTTGACCAACACATCAGGGCAAAGCACCATCCACAATATTTTCAAATGTGGCTGGGAAAAGTTTGGTACCTAAAGCCATCTGGATATAGCTGTTTCACCTTAGGCATGCAAGTTTGAAAATTTTGGATCATGCTTCTAACTTCCATCAGGACAGCTTCAAGAGAACTCAGTTTAATATCTCATCTAAAGGACATCTGAAAATAAAAGAACTTTTCCTGCATGTTATTGTCCTAGCAATGGACATAAGCCCAAGTCCTCATGTCTTCTTGGCCCAGAAGTGAAAGTGCTGCTAATTCAGGGCCCTCACTGACACATTTCTAATAAACTGGTGTAAAAGCAGTGACCTGCAAAGGACTGCATGAAAGCATGACCTGCAAAGGATATTTCGTTCCATAGTGCGTTGTCTTTCATCAATGTCTTGCTTCTATAAAAATGATGATACAATGTAAGGGCACCATAATGAGTAAGAACATTACAAAACAAAGTGTATTTCAATTTAAAATGATATTAAAAATATCAAGCTTGAATCATTGTTTACAAAAGGATTAGCACTTCCGTTCTCTAAAGAAGCAGATCTTACTGATCTCTTTAAAAATAAACTTTCATCAAAACATATTTAACTGCATCCTTCTCTAGGCAAATGGGGATTCACAATGCTAGCAAGTCTACAATAAGTCTACTGGACTTCTCCCGTCCTTAGAAAACACACTGAGATACACCACACTTTGTCTCAAAAAACAACTCTTTGAGGTTGCACACAGGAATTGGACAATTCTGCATCCTTCTCTTTTGCATTTACTATAAAAGTTTGCAGTATGTCACCATGTATCTGTTTCATCTCTTTAAATCAAATGGAGCTACATCAGTATAACACAGCATTTCACAGTAAAAATCAACATTTGTGATAATCAGTAATATGAGGCAATGATTGTGTATGGCTGCTATAATTAAAGTTGCATTTTTCAGACTAGTATTTATTGAAGAAATAGTCAAAATTTCTAAAAAGAAAAGGTAGGGTGGAGTGGAGATTATACAAATGATTCTCCATCTTTTAAACTCCAGTAAATTACCCATAGAATTGCTTTCCTGTGTTCTTTACATGGGAAACAGTTAAAACTGGCAAATATACTCATGCCAAATAAAGATGTGAAAAGATTCAGCTGTTCACTGTTTTGGAATTTAACTTAATAGAACTAGAATAGATTTTCATGTTTTCTTCAAAGCAAATAAGCTATTAGGCATTTTTTGAAACAGAAGCTAACCTTAGCAACCATGCATAACATTTATATTTTAAGAACATCTGATACAGGCATCATATGTTATATTTTGAAATTGTGCAGATAGTAGTTGAATTCAAACCCGAGAGGTGCTAATGGACCAGTAATGGCACCATCTACTTTGGAAATTACTACTATGGATAGCATTTCATTGCAGAAGATGATAATGAAAATAATACTGAGAACTTTTCATCCACAGACCTCACATTTTACAAAAGTATAGAAATAATCTGAATTCCTATTTTACAGATGGAGTAAATGAGGCACAGGAACATTAATTGACTTGTCGAAGGTGTCCCCGTGACACAGTCCAGAGATGGGAAAGGCAACTGGTATTTCTTCCATCAAACCCTCCCTTCTGGTGAAAATAACTTGAGCCCAAATTAGCATGTAGGGGTGTTGGATGGAAATAAATTCATATTTTGTATTTTAGTTTTAGAATGAGGATTTGACTAGTTATTGACTACAGGAACTTGTCAGGAATGCAGACCTCTTTTATTCAGTAGTAGTTGTCATTAGTGCATCAGGCAGGAACCTGTTTCTTCTCAGTAGAACCACTGAGGAAAAAATGTCTGCATCCTGTTGGGAAAGGATTTCTTTAACCTTACAGAGACTTTTTGATCACATGGATTTTTTCTGAAAATGTTGTTTAGTGGCAATAAAGTTAATTTTAATTCAGACAAAATTTTGGGCTGTTCTTTCTTAGCAGAGTTACTTTTATCCTCAGCAGTAACATTTTAAAAGGAGGAGTTCTTTCTCAAGATACTTTTTAAATTCTTACTGTTATTTAATATTCCCTTGGAAGTTTGAAAGTGAAACTTTCCTTTACTTTTCAGCTTTTGAAAAGAAATGACCGGGGGTGGAGTGTGGAGTGGGGAAATATGATAGAGGTCTATAAAATCATGACTGGTGTAGAGAAAGTAAATAAGGAAGTGTTATTTACTCCTTCTTATAACACAAGAACTAGGGGTCATCAAATGAAATGAATAGGCAGCAGGTTTAAAACAAATAAAAGGAAGTACTTTTTTTTTTACACAAACACAGGTGACCTGCGGAACTCCTTGCCAGAGGATATTGTGAAGGCCAAGACCATAACAGGGTTCAAAAAAGAACTAGATAACTTATGGTCGATAGGTCCATCAATGGCTTTTAGCCAGCGTGGGCAGGGATGGTGTCCCTAGTCTCTCTTTGCCAGAAGCTGGGAATGGTGATGGATCACCTGATGATTACCTGTTATGTTTATTCCCTCTAGGACATCTGATATTGGCCACTGTCGGAAGATAGGTTACTGGGTTAGATGGACATTTGGTCTCACTCAGTATGGCTGTTCTTATGTTCCTGTCTTTCCCCTTTTCACTGTGCATGTGTAAACCAAACATCTTTTGGGTGTAGTGCTGTCCCCATCCAGAGACACCAAGATCACTTCAAGATTAATGAGTCTGCTAAAGCCTTAGCTAACAGCCATGTGGCTTTTATATCATGCAATAGAGAATAATGCATTTAGCTCCAGAAGTCCTAGGTTCAATCCCACCCACCAATGACCAGCTCGGGGTTATACATGCCTATTAAATAGTTACTGAAGGGTTAGATTCTGAGTTAGTTTTGGATTTTTTAAAAAAAGATTAAAATAATTTGGGGCAGGGGAAAAGTTTGATGAAACATTCATTTTTGGGGTAAAACTAAAATCGGTCAATTTTCGTGACCCAAAATAAAAAAAACAAAAACAAATTAAAAAAACCCTAGCCCCACATTTATATTTAGGCTCTGATACAGTATTCCTTCCCTTCCACACATATATACCTACTGACCCCAGCAGATAAAAGGATGTACATTTTTTTAGCTCTAGGCTTTCAAACTGTATGACCTAATCCATGAGAAACACAGTAAAATGTAATGTGAGAAGTTTCACACTCAGTAGTGTGAACATTGGAAAAGGTCAGAGTTTTAATTATTTAGCTTGCCATTACCTTGAAATAACTTAATATTTCTAGAGGTGGCATAGTTAAGGTCTATTTTCATATTGATAATCTGATTGGATCCACTTTTCCATTTAGTTTTCAGGTGCTGGTTCAGCTTCATACTGTATTATGAGTTCTTAAGATAGCATTATTCTCAGTAATTGTATCTAACATGCCAATTAGAAAAGGGGACAGATTTAGAAATCATGTTATTGACTAACAATAGCAGCTCACACATAAACACAAATTCTGAAATTTAACATGTACTATATATTGCTTAAAATATTTTACTGTGTAAAATCATATGGACACCTAAGAGAAATACCCACCCAAACCCACACCCTTAATTAAAACTACATAAACAACTTCCTGGAAAATTCAAATAGAACTATTCTTGTACAACTAGGTTTACAACTTTATAATCTTATTGATTTAGGAAAATGGCCACTGAGAATCATCAAACTTTACTTCCAAGACACTTAGAAATGGCTAAACACTTTTGATGCTGTAATTGAGTATGTTAAACTAATTGGCAAATATTTTTAAGTAAAACAGAATACAGTTTTTACTATATCTGGAGCAGACTTAATAATCTTCTTTTGATGATGACCAGGATAAATGCAATCTGATTCAAAATATGGCTTGTGTGCAGCAAAGCTAAGTTACTAAAAAAACGGTTAAACTAATGATGCAACAGTAATTTATTTTTAAAGGCTAGTTAGAAAAGGTTTGGCCATTTAATTAGTGTTGTTAAACATGACACATCAGGGGTAGCTTATTCTTCTGCTCTTCTATTCATCCAACTTCATGGACATACATTAGAGCTCTGAATTGGAGAAAGGACATCAAGTTATTACTAAATAGGCCAAAAATGTTGTATATAGATAGATTGTGATGGCACAAAGAGTCAAAAACTTTCCCTACCAGGGTAGTTAAGGATTCCTCTGGTATGGGGGAGCCCCTGGTTAGAATGGGAAGCATTGCTGAAGCATGATGTGGGCTTTGGTGATCTTAGGGCAGGGTAACAGTTCCTGAGCCACCATTACCAGCCAGCATAATTTAGAGTAACCCTGAGGCTGACTTGTCTTACTTTGAGGGCCAAACTACTCCAGGGATCAGAATAATGCCAAAAAAAAAAGGTGTACAGTCACCTTTTTCCCAATACTCTTGAGTCCTGAACTGAGAACTGCTCAGCTGGACACACAGATCTGACCCATTGTGCAACTTGTCAATTTTTAAATGTCTAGCTCATGTTTAAAGTAACTTTTTTTTTACAATATCACATTCAGTATCACATATGGCTGAACTTTTTGTACATGTCAGATTGTTTTGGATCAGTTAGACAGATGGAAAGTTCCTTGACAGTGAAGAAATGTACTGTTCCTGCATGTTGCCATAGAAGTTTTGTTGAAAAGCCTTTATCTTATTAAACCATTATTTCCTAACATGTACTTAAAGATATATTGTCAGTAATCATAAATGCAGCATCACCATAAAAATCTTTTCTTTACACTTTTCCACATATGAATGCTTATCATCTGAATAGCATGGAATTGTATCTTGCAGGTCTGTCTTTCAGGCCACAGCCAACATTAACCTCAATAAGTGTTTTTAAAATTCTATTTTGGTTGTGTTTTACTTAATCTAAATCAGACATATTGATTGCCCCATTTTCTTAGTTAATAGAATGTACTCAGTGTGATTTGCAAAGTTCTGTGCTTTTTGACTGAGAGGTAATCTGATAGGTTTTGAAGAAGTGTATCTTCCGGGAAACCAGATTTGTTGAGTTGTACTGACAGTACAATAGGTCAATTCTTTAACAATGTGTGCTCATTAGTGTCTACCTTTTTCCAGTTTGGCTTACATAATGTGTATGCATATATATGATCTTATAAAGGTGAATGTATTATAAATATATATATATATATACACATACAATATTGAATCTATGTCTTAATCTTCTTTTTCACCTTTGCTTTGTGCCACTAGTTGGGGTTGGCCGCTCTTGTTTTTCATCTCCAAGCATTTCTGTTGAATGCATCTTACAGGCTGATATTGACTTTCTCATTGTCCTCCTTCAGCATGTAAAACCACTTTTGTCTGGGTCTTTCTCATGGTCTTTTGTCATGTGACTACTAGATCTTTCACTCTCTGACAAACAGATCCCACATCCCGCTCTCTCCCATGATCATCATCTCAGCTGATACTCCCTCAGCTTTTCCATGAGGGGAGTTACCTACATCATGATTCATAGCATTTCATTACATAGTTTATCAGTTCTTGTCTTACCCAGCATCCACCTGAACAATCTTATTTTGGCAGTGTGAAGTAGTACAATATTGCATATTAGAAAAATAACCCTTCTCTTCCTCTCAAAATAAGATTTGCCAATACAAAAGCAAATTCTTCAATAACGACAATGCATTTTAGTTATCCACCTGTCTTGAAGAGAAATGTAATTATCCTTTTTGAAGCTGTTTTTTTAAAGCAATACTACACCATGCTCTTTACTTCAGTATAAAACACTGGGTAAAGGAAAACAGAAAATGTACAATGATGCCTTTCAGTAAAAGTAATTCCAATTTCAGCCAAATCTTTGGAACTTGTTTTCCTTTTTATTTGTGTTAAGGAAGAAACATGGCTGGGGTGGATAGAGTGGGATTTATTTTTTACTTGATTTCTTAGAGTCCTAGCCAAACAACCATCCTTTTTGTTCTGCTTGTACAGTGCCTAGCAAAATGGGGACTTGGCCCATGATTGGGGCTCCTAAGACCTATGGTAATAAAAAATAACTAATAATAATACTCTACTGTAGCGTAATACACTTTTTTTTAAACAACTGCTATAGTTTGGATATTTGTGGTCTGAATTTCCTCAAAAAAAATCATCTAAATAGCTTCAAGTGGAATTTGAAAGTAACATCCCTTTAAGACTAGATATCTTTCTTTCCTTTGTTCATGCTATCAGTATTTTTTTTCTGTTTGACACAAGCTTTAGTAAGATACATCATACAAATGAATGCACTTCCATCCTCAACCAAAAAGACTGGAGCTATATTCCCCTTTTAAGAAAATGAAAGCATATTCTACAGAATACAATAGTATTTGAAAAAGCTGCAAATCAAATGGATGGATTTTTATTGCTTCCTATGAAACCACTGTTGATGTTTACATACCCTACCGTTCCCTAATCTGTCAATGCCCAGTGTCAAACATTTTCTCAGATGCCAAGAAAATGATGGAATCTATGACATCTGTGGAAAAATGTAGTGTCATTACATAGGGTGTGAAATCCTGGCTCCACTGAAATCAAGGACAAAGCGCTCATTCACTCATTGGCTTGAATGAGGCCAGGATGTCACCCTTGCATTCTGCATATAATTTAATCATAAAATGTAAATCCAGAATTTAATCCGACCTTCTATATATTACAGGCCACCAACACCCACACACTGTAGAGCTTGATTAATTATTGCAAGTGTTTGTACCAGCACTACTAATAAACACTTTATCACAGATTCTTTCCCTGATAGGTGGGCTAAACTGAAGTTTCTTGTTTAGCGGGAAATTGATGGAATACATCATAGAGAATAATAAAAGCTTTTATTACCAATCAAATACGACCACTTATTAGTATAACCAGGCAACATAAAGCAATATACAGAGAAAGAGGTTTGGGGATTGATAGCATAGTCACATATCCTTAAACTTCATGGAAAAGAAAAATAGAAGCATTCAGTCAGTTGAGCACATTGGACCAGTATGCTGTTTACTTTGAGGAACTGAAGATGTATACATCCATCTTTATCTCTCTGCCCTCCGGCTCCCCCCTGCCCTAAAAAAAAATGACCCTCTTACATTCTCCCCCTTCCCTCGTCCAAAGGTGTGGGCCATTGTCAGTTTTCTGACCTACCCACAATCTCCCGGTCCCACCTGTCAATTCCTGATGTGGCAGCTATTACTTGCAATGCTTCTCCATTGGTCCGCTCCCCAGCTCCTTCACCCAGGATCATCCCCAACCCACCTGTTGGTAGAGAATCTGTAGAAGGGAAGCTATTTATAAGAAGGGGGCTGCATACCCAAGGATCACAGAGACATGGTGGGGGTCTATCCAAACAAGAGTACTGATGTGCTCTAGACAGTCCCTCATTATGGAAGAGTTCTGTGGAATTTAATAGCAAATTATAACATTTCTATGGGTTTTGAAACACCCTCCACTGTTAACATGAAATTATGTCCCTAATCTACAATTCTATATTTCCAAAATATCTACAGAAAGGAGGATATCATGCTCTTAAATTCTTATACATAAACTGACATAGGGCCATTGACTCAATGAAGCTGCACCAGTTTATACTATTTGAACATCTGTCCATATAGGTTTTTGGGGAAACTTGTATAGAGATCTATTGCATTTCTAAGGAACCTCATTGGTTTCATCTCTATAACATATTTCCATGTGGTCCTGATCTCTGGGCCAGTGGGAAGGGCACTTTCTAGGATGCAGGAGACTCAGGTTTGAATACCTAATCTGGAGCAGAGACTTGAATTCAGGTCTCCTCTCCTTCTGATGAGTACTGTAATCACCAGGCTACCGGCTGTTTTGCAGTAGAGGGTTCTACATCTCCCCTATTTAAGCTGTTTCACTTTTTAGTAATAGATATTCACTGTGCCAGAGATAGAGTGATTAAAGCACTCACTTGGGGGTGGGGAGGTGTAAAGTCAAATCTTATTTCTGCCTGATTTGGAGGAAGAGAGCAACTTACTCTGAAAAGAAGGTTTCCTTGGCTGAAACTATTGTGTCAAATTTTCAAATAGTTTCAGGTTGACCAAAACTACTTTAAAAAAAATTAGTTAGTTAGTTAGTTAGTTATTGGGAGAATAAACTGTTTGCTAGGGGAAAAAAAACACCCCTGCCCTTCTTTAGTCATTTTCTTAGCACACAGGCCCTTTCTAGCCTCACAATTCCTGCTCTCTGGCCAGACTATGGATAGCAGTGAATGGGTGGGAGTTGTGAGATTTATACCATTTTGTAGCCAGTGAGGATTATACTGAGGCTATCCAAACTCTTAGCATTTGCTGTATAAAGTAATTGTTTATGTACCTACATTTGCAGAGCTGGAGGACTAATTAGTTTACCAAACACATCTTAATTTTCCTTGTGTTGTGGATTTTATTGCATTCTCATTTTGTCTCTAGCAGAAAGGGAAAACCAAAGAATCAAACCATTTGTTCCCATGCTTTCTTAAATAGAAAGGGATGGGTATCTGCACATTTAGACAGGGGTGTTCACACATCCCAGCAGTTGGCTTTTCTTGTTTAAAAAGCCCATACTTCTGCAAAGGTACCTTAATGTCTGGAAAACAGAGGTCAATAATAAAAAGTTAAAGATCCAACCTGAGCAAAAACAAATGTATGGTTACCAGGTAAAGATCCCTTCTTTCTTTAACCCCTAAGTCCATTCTGGATTGAAGGTTTGGGTATTGACCAGAATCTTCACCATACAGGAATCTAGAAGGTGAGGTCGATTGAAATTACTGCTAATAGCTATTATTTTAATCCTATTTATGTCAACAGCAATGAAACAGTAGCTAAGAAAATAGCTAGCACGTGATGTCCATCCCTGTTCAACAAAAGTAAGTGCTTTAGTGAATAGAAATGGACTTAAGTACATGTTCAGGGGTTTTGCTGAATTAAAGTATTGCTTTCCACCTGCACTAGCACTCTTTCTTCTTCCTTCAAGTCTCACCCTATTTCCTTTGTTTTTAAAATGGAAAAGATAGAAGCAGTGTCATTACAACATTTCTCTCCCAAAAATAAAAACCCTCATTATAAAGCATAAAGTTTTACTGTATATTGTGATTTTCACCTAATTCAATTACTTGTTCATTTCATCTTCTGTTTAATTTGATCAACACCTGTACAGAGAAAATATTGATATTAAAATAATATAGATTCCACATTTAATTTTGCTCAATTTGTATTACTTAAAGCAGTATTAGGATAATTCAGTCACTGACTATAGAAAGATATTATATAATTATCACAAGAGCCAAGATCCAGAATAAGAGGAAAACAAATAACAAGAAGACCCAAGTGATAATTAAAGATGACTATACTAAAGGTTGTTACTTAGATATTGTCACTGGCATTATACTATATCAGCTATCATATGCCGTGCAAGCTGTGATACTGTGTGCACTCTGATAACCACAAGGATAAAAAGATCAACTGCTTATTTTAATCAAAGCGATTGAAAAATAGAAGAGGGCATGATTGGAATAAGAGGAAGCTGCTTTGTGTCATATTAGAGTCTGCTGGAGACACTGATTGCCCAAAGCCATGTTCTGATCAGACAGTTGGGTGGTTTGGTGGTGTCACAGCCCTGAATCAACTGACAACATTGCACAGTTGGAACTTTCATTAAGGAGAGAGAATTTCCTGTATCCATTATATTAAAATTTATTATTCAGATGCTTTTACACTGGGAAGGGGATGGCAAAAAAGAGAAAAAGTGCTGGGCCTGCCTGTCTCCATAGTAGTTTATGGCACCACATATCCTACTACTTCCTGTGATGACTCATCCCTGAGTTACCTCTGAGCCTGCTTGAGAGAAATGAGTCATCAGTTAGCTTCAGGGTTCAGCCAATCCAGAGGAAAGCTCCCACCCTGGTGATCCCAAGGCAGGTATATAGGTTATTAAGGGAAGCAGTCTCTCCAGTCTGAACAACATGGTGGTGTACCCTGCAGCTCCCAACCACCACAGGGTGAAGTCACAGAGGTAGCTGGAAGTCACAGATTCCATGACTTCTGCAACCTCTGTGACTAAATCGTAGCCATAATCATGATGGTTATGGGACTCCCATGGTGCACCATGGTAGTTCAACCAGAAGAGAGACCATGATGCATCATGGGACATGTAGTCTGGACACAGAGCTCAGGCCACAAAGAACAATAACAAAATTGATTTTCCAGGAAAGCCCAGCGGCCCAGCCCATAGAAAGAGAAAAAATGCAAAAACTAAATTTAAAAGATCAGCAAAATGACAACTTTTTTCCTGGGAAAAATTGATTTTGCAGAAGCTGCATTTTTTATAAAATAACTGTGACAGAAAATTGCCAAATTCTGGCTAATTGGAATAAGCTAGTCCAAGCTGTGCAGTAAGAAGTTATTGATTCACTGTTTTTCTGGCTGATAGTAGAATGCCATACACATTTATAGGATGGAATTATATAATTGTGACATAGTTGAGGGAGTGGCACCAGAATGCATTACTCATGTTTGCAGTGTGGTAATTGTGGTAGATCCTTTTTTTCAATTTTGACCAAAAAGACCATAAATAGGTTGGGATACAACCATAATTGCAATCAGAAGTGTGTGAGGTATCACCTCGCTGTTTTAAAATGGAAGAGACAATAATAGGTTTGGGAGCTTGTGGTTTTGGATTCTAGAATTTCTAGCTTGTGTCTATTTTGTGTCTATTTTGTTTTAACAGAACCCAGATCTTATTTCCTTTAGGTAATGGTGTAACACTGTCCAGGCTTTCCCTGATTCAAGAGAGTATTACAGGGGTAATTTTTTTGTAATAAATGGATTTGATGTGTGGTTTATTAGAAGAAATAGGATTGGTTTAAGAGAGGGTTGGGTAGATTAATGTACTATGATATTTTTTACAAGCATCTAGAGCTTGGGATAAAGACTTTAAAAGTAAATCCATATAAAAGGGAGACTACGCACTCAATACAAGACACTCTCTCATCTCCTGAAACTTTGCTATTCATAATGTAATTTTTTTCTCCTGAAACGCATGTTACCCCAACATCTTCTTGAGAACTATGTTGTCAGCTATTACATCCCTGGAGAACAAGCTGTGGGTAAAAATTGATGCAAGCTGCATCAAGATGAACAAAACTTGATGAGAGACTAGATGTTTTGGAGGATGAAATGGTTAGCAAAAGCACTCAGCCTGTAAATGTTGAGATGGAAAGTTTAAAGGCTGTCTCTGGTGCTTTGATTGGGGAAGGAAAGTTTTGCTAAAACTGCACAGTGGAGCTGCTGGAAAAACAGTGTTAAAGATATAAACCTATGTGTTTTAAGTCCTAAGGAAATAAGTCATCTCTTTTGCCCTTAAAACACATATACAATTGCCACTATCATTAACCCTAAGATAACCAAATGAAGAAGAAAGTATTTTATAAGTTCTGTTATACTTTTGAAATAGCTCCCAAAGAGTCTCTTTCTCACCTTGACTGGCCGTATGCAAAACAATTCTCCAAGAACAAAAACAAAAAACAAAAAAAACAACCACACTGTGGGAGCTTCTGTTTTTCCTAAGCTCTTTTCTTTGCAGTTTTAAATGCAAATGAATATAATGTTCATGAAAGTTTCCAGACTGATAGCTGCCCAGGAGATTGATTCCTTCTGACTGTCCACAGAACAGATGTACAGACTTGACAGCAGAAGAGTGTTGCCCTGCCAATGTTCCTCAACATGCCTGACTTTGGGAAGGCATCTCTTGGGGTGGTTAAAGAGGCCAGTTATTTTCCATGCCTCATTCAGTTCTTAGCCTCACTGCTATGATTGCAAACAACGTTAGGAACATAGGAATTGACATACTGGTTTCTACCAGTGGTCTGTCTAGCCCAGTATCCTGTTTCTCAGAGATTGTCCAATACCACTTCCTTCAGATTAAGAAACCCTCCAGTAGGCAGTTGTGGGATAAATTGCCCTCATGAAAATTTCTTCTCAAGCCCCAATTAAAGGCTGGTTTATATGCCAATTCTTGAGAGAGGTATTTCTTTCAAAACTCTTCTTTACTTTGTAAATGTGTATGGCTATGGATCTTCTTATTAGCCATATAAATATCTAGCACTTTTTTGAATCCTGCTAAGATCTTAGTCTCAATTAATTTCAAAAGCTAATTGCATTGTATGAAAAAATATTTCCTTTTATCAGTTTTGAATTTACCACCTTAAATTCCATTGAATGTCCCCTTTCTCTTGTGTCATGAGGGAGGATACGAAGTTACTGATCTACCTTCTTTATACTATTAATTTCTTAGATAAGAAGGGACATGATCAAAGTATACATCTCCTCTCTGAAGTAACAGTTCCTATCTTTTCACTCTCTCTTCATGTGGGAAGATTTTCCATGCATTAATAAATGCCAAGTCAGTATATATCACAAATCTTCTAGACTTAGTTTTTACTATCTTATGGCTTTTTTGAGATGGTCTTTTAGTCACTATTAACCTGAGCCAGATTCATATATCCGTGACGTGGAGGTGAAAAGCTTTATATTCCTATACCAATCCTCAGAGCCATCTGGTCCTCTCAATAACATGAGCAGTGTCTTTCTTATTTGACTGGTTTGACCAGTTAGAGTTTAATGTTATCATATAACAGGAAAAAACTCACTGAGTCTGGATTAGGCCAAGGGAGAGAGCAGAGAGAATTTAGAAATAGAGCTGGCTGGGACCTTAAGAGTTAAATGTTTTTGGTCAGAAAATGCTGATTTGTTGAAACCAAAACTGGTATCGGGAAAGGGTCAATTTTGATAAATCTCCCAATTCAAAGCATTTTTTTAGAGGGGGGAGAGTTTGGTTTTTTTATTTTAAATGACTTTGTTTTAAAATAGTACATTTATGCTTTCAAATAATAAAAGGTTAAAACTGAAACAAAACCTTTCAATTGACCCAATCTAAAGAAAAAAAAAAGTTTGGATGATTGGTTCATGAAAAACATTTTGACTTTTTGTCCCACTCAGAAGAGGAAAAATGTTGAAATCTTGAAAAGTCTCACAGGATGGGTAAACAGTTTTCCACCGAGCTCTATTTGAAAAGGACTTTAGGAAGACCTTAGAGATCTCCATAATCCCTAAGGTTGCCTAGAAAAGTTCCAGGGGCCTAACTGATAGGTCACTTTGGAGGGAGGTAAATCCGTTGAGAAGCCTGTTTGGAGCTGTCCAGGTTTTACTGGATCTGTAAGAAATCGTATTTATCTAATGGTTGTTCTCAGTATGTTGATCCGTTATATTTTCAGCAGGGTTGAGGCCTGGTCTCAATTTTTTTGGGCCTGCAAAAAGGTGATTTTCACATTTCGTAGTTGACACTTGTACCTTTAAGAGGGACGTTGACCTTTGGAAAATATACCTCTAAATACTGAAGTGCACAGTTTAAAAGACAGGTGTAAAATTCTTCCTGCCTGCAAATGTTTGGTGCCAGCTTATTAGTTATCTGAAAAATTAACTAACTGGGAGCCACTTGAATGCCAAAATGTGTCTTTGTGTATAACTATGTGCAAATATATGATGTAAGCTGTAAAATCCCAGACAAAACAAGGAAACAAACATATTGAAAAACAGTATGAACCACAAAATAGTTATATCAGGATCAGGCAAGCACACATGAAAAAGTTCCGGGTATAATGGGCCTATGGTCTTTCTGGTTCTAGGTAACTTTGTAATACAACAGATTCTGTTCTCAGTGGATGAGAAATAAGTATAAAATCATGCATAAAGAAAAATGAGAAATACAAGTGCATGATACCTACGGTTTTAAAAAGGAATTGAAAAAGATTCTATTAGCTGCTAGATGAGGAATACACAGGTATTTTTGGCTGAGAAGACACCAAAAGATGTATTCATTTATTTGTTTTACAAAGCATGGACATTGCACATAAGCACTGACTGCTGCAGCAATGGCACGAGCTACTAATAGTCTGCAGGGGAACCAGGTTCAAGCTTCTGATACACCCTTCAAACTCCGGCTGACAGGTGATAGGAAAATTGTAGAAATAGCTCCCTCAGCACCTCATGTTGCTCTGCAGCTACTTCACTCACTGACAGATTCAGCATTAACACCAATGGGTTTCAGAAGGAGTCCTGTTCAGTTTTATTGACTACTAAAACAATATTCATAAAGTGGGATCTAAAAAAATGTGAAAGTGCAGCTCTCTTCTCCTCACCTCATGAAAGATGTATGTATTCAGCATCTGTGAATGAAATGAATTGCTTTGCTGTTCCTTGTACATCTATATGTGCACATTTGACTATTAACAGAAACATACAATGAATTATTATTATAGTAATAATTATAGGGGATCCCCACCATAGATAAGGTTGAGCCCCTCTCCCTGCCCGCCCTCCCACCCATGGCAATGGTCTCCAGGGATTAGTTAGTAGTAGATTAAGACAATGTCTCAGAAGGAATTCTCTGGCAAGGATGAAGGCGTGATATCATTTAGCAAGTGCGGAGTGGTTCATTTGGAATAGGCTTACCATGAGTGTACACCAAGCATACGTCGCTCCTGTTTCCTACACCGGACCTAGACCTGAGCTTTGTTTTAGCAAAGGGAATGTATTAGATCTTGTTCTACAGTACTCACATGCTCTGCCCTGAAGAATTTTAAATAATCTGTAAGGTTAGGGTGTTAGTATGTGTGTTATTGACATGCTGACCACTACTTATGATGCTGACTAATAGTGTCTCGTTGTTGGCTTGTACTTCTCTGTCTGTAGCCATCTGTTTTCTCTTTGATTGTAAACCCCTAGGAGTAAGGACTGTTTTGTTCTGTATTTGCACAGTGCTTAGCATGATATGCCGATAATAATACTGACAGAAAATAATAATACTGGGGCAATACTCAGAGGACAGAGCTATGCTTGCCTTGCACAGGTGGCATATTCCTTAACTTTATATTTTATGGTTTTCAGAGTTTTAAGTTCTCATTACTCAAATTCTTCATTTCCTGGTTTCAGAGAAATTAGTATAGCTGGTAGTCAAAACATTCTGGAAGGGTTTGAGGCACCAGTATGCAACCGTATCTCTGTGGTAAAAAAATCAGGGCAGTTAATATTATAAAATAAGCAGATTGCGGGGAAAATAGGCAAAAAGCAATTTTACCCTCAGATAACTTCAGAACTCTGTTTGAATAGGCAGGTTAAAAATAAACTTTTATTCTGTTGGAACGGATTTGCTATATTTGCACCAATTCAAACATCTTAATCAAACCAAGGTTTGAGCAATATAAGTTGTGTGAAAAGCAAAAATATTTCAAGAGATCAAACCATCAGGACATTTAATTTTAAACTTTAGCATAATTACTCATCTCCTCCATTTAGAATTTGTGCCAAATATAGACAATGAAATTTCCCAGAGTTAAATTGAATATGCCTTTCACAAGTATATATGAGCTGCCACAGATCTTGGCTCCTCATTCTGCCAAGTTATTCAGCAGGAATCTCAACAAGGCCATGGGACCATTTTCATCCGAGAGCAGCTTGAGATGGAAAAGCTTATGTCATCTTTCCAACACCTCTTCCCTCAGTCTCACTCTGACTGCATGGAACTAAAAACCATGTGTCTGACATCCTCAAAATAGCTATTTAACATTCTTTAAAAAAAAAATCCAGGTTCAATAAGAACTGGATTAACATTCTCTTCCCTTCATCACCAACTGGCAATGTGCAAGAACTATTCTGATGAAGAATGATTATACTCCCAATCATGCCATTTAAGCATGGCGAGGTTTTTGGGAAGAAACAAAATTTAATGTATAGTTTAAAATTTGTAATTCTTAGAGCATACTGTTTAGAAAAACATCCAGTCTTGATGGTTAGTGATGACATGGGTAAATTGTCCCAATAGTTAATTACTCTCACTGTTAAAAAATCTACACCAGAATTTGTCTAGCTTCAACTTTCAGCTTCCCCCAGATTCTTTCTTCACTCCTTGATTAAAGTCAGACTGAGGGCACTACTTTGATGCTGTCACTAACAAACCAGAAAAGATAGTGTCCCATATGCTAGACTGAGACACTGTCTCATGCAGGGGTGAAAGTAAGTCCAGTGACTTACTGGTACACTGGGGCCAACTCTGGCCCCCAGAAGGGGCGGAGCCTAGGGCAGAAGGGGCAAGGCTGAGGGAGTCAGAGCCAGCCCCACCCCAGCCCACCCTGCTGGGAGCCCCAGGCCCTTTAAATTGCCCCCAGGGAAGC